CTTCTCCCTAGTTCCATTACTTTCTCCCTTCTCCCTGTCTCCATCACCTGTGGTCCTGTTAACTCCACCTCCAGCGGAACATGATCCGATTCCGTTCTAATGTCTTCTTCAACCATATTTATTTCTTCTCCTGCTCTGTCATTCTCTAAGACATAATCTATAACCGATGATCCTAAGTCTCTTATATAAGTCCATCCCTTCCGAAACTCCCATTTAATATAGCCCATCTTTCTTCTATTTTATCTATTAATATACGTCCCTCTCTATTTACAACTTTATCTACTAACTTTCTGGTCTCGCTCCTCTTTTCTTTCTCTTTTTCCTCATTTATCGGTCCTCCTCTGCTTCCCGTCCTCGCGTTCATATCACCTCGTACCAGCAACTATTCTTCATTTTCTTCTTGTACCTTCTCCCTTAGTGTTTCCATCGTATCGTCTATCTTTTGACTGTACAACGTGATTATTCTCCATTTGTTTCTATTATACTCTAATCTGCTTTCTACTACCTCGTCGCTAATCTCCCTAATCTCTATAAGTTTCAAATTCTTGTTGACTGCAATGTTGTTATTATCCCTCCTTTTGCTCTTCCTTTCCTGTGTTTCCTTCTCGCTGGTACACAATTCCAAATTTTTCTGGACAACTTATTTTTAATCTTTCTCCATTTATCTTCCTTCATCCATGTTTCTACTAGTCCTATCACGTAAAAATTCTCCAAATAATCCTCACATTTTCACATTTATTAATTAGTCCCGCTACGTTCCAAAAGCATATCCTTAATCCTCTTCCTTTTTCCGCCTTATCTTCCTCTTCTTCCTCCTCTCTCACTCTTCCTCTCTCCTTCTCCCTGTCTTCTCTCTTCTCTACTCTTTCCGAAAAACACCTCTGCTTTCTAGCATTTCGGTGTTTTTATTCCACTTCCTTTTGCAATTGTCTATCTATATTTTTTGATATCCTACCGTTGCTTTCTTCCCCTTTTCTCTCTCTACTTTTACTATACTACAGTTTTTGTATCTGCCTTTCTGTTGCCGTCAGATCGTTATCCATAAATATCTTGCTTGCTCTTCCTATCTTCTTCCTCTTTGCCATTATTTCTCTTTTATCCTCTTATCTATTAAATCTGACTAGCGTCATTTTGTACCCTCCCCGGCCAATTGCCTGCACTTCGTCCACTTCCATCTTCTTTTTGGTGATTTCTTCAAGGAATTTCCTTATCTTCTCTTTTCTTTCACCTCGATTTTCTACTTTTATTCCTTTTATAATTATATTATTTTTCTTTTTTCTCCTTTCGGTTAATTTGGATTTCTTTCCATCTCCTTCATCTTCTTCATTAGTTCACTGCTCTCTAACTTTTCACTTTCACTCTTCTCCACTTTTTCTATTTTCTCCTCCAGCTGTTTTATTCTATTTTCTAAACTCGTTTTTTGTTCTTCCCAAAGCATTTCTCTTTTTCTATATTCCTCCCTCAGGTCGCGTGTATCTCTTCATTATCTCTTCTTTACCCTTCTTTCTTTCTCTCTCTTGTTCATCCATTTTTGCTAAAATCTCTTTCAGGATTTTTTTTGCCTCCATGCCTTCTTCTTTCTTTTCGTTTCTTTTTATCTTGTTTGGCGATCTTATCACTCTTTTTTCTTTACCAAAATTTTCCTTTTTCTTCCTCCCTTCCTCTTTTCTTTACGTATTCTATAATTGATTCTTGGATTCCTACGTCCTATATCTTATTCTTGACAGTTCCACCGCCCTTGTGGACCTTTTTCTATCGTCCTATTCTTTTTCTCGCCTTTCTTTGAGTTAATATCCTTTTTCTAGCCCTCCTCTTTCTTCTCGTCCATCTGAATTCTTTTCTCGTTTTTTATCTCTTCAACACACCTCTTTCCTCCTGTCACTCTCTTTTTTATCGACATGTTTTCGTGCTACTCCGACTCCGATTTCTCCGTGCCTGTTTTCGCTTCTATCACTTAACTTTCAAATTATCGCAGCAGCACAGATCACCCGAGGAAATTTGAAAAGAACCCTCCGCAGCAGCACAGAATCCCCGAAATCGTCTGTAGTTCGACTCCCACACTGCCGATTTATATCTGCAGTCAGTCCTGCATATCTGTGCATGCAAACTACCTGAAACAAAGTCGCCCCACGGCGAAGGAACGGCAGATAAGTTCGAAAAAACACTGACGCGTTTGACAGGCGTGCTTCTCTCTATTTACTCAGTCCCGGAAGTTTTTTATTAATTATTAATTATCTTTTCTGCTTTATAAAAAAGATTTTATATGTTTTAAAGTGTATAAGTAAAAAAGTTTTTATATGATTTGTATTAATATTGCAGGATACAATCTAAAATATTTATTGCTTTGATATATATGTAAATAAAAATATTAAATAAGGATATTTTTATTAATTTTACAATATTCTAAAGAATTTCTTTTTATTTCTGTTTATACAGAGTAAGAGAGAGTGTAAGTGATGAAAAGTTTTACTACGTTTTTTTCAAAAATGGTTAAAGATAGGATACTGGAACAATTCATTCAGGGAAAGACACTTATTATATATATTATATGTAACGTATATCAAGGACAAGTAGGGGAATCCTTTGGCGACCTCGAATAACTTTGAGTGTCCCCGATTTCCACATTACCAACTAAAATTTGCTTTTTTGAAATAAAATGGAGTACTTTTGAATCATTCTATCGATAGTAATCAATGAATTTACAATTAGGAACTTTTTTAACAGCGTAAATCTCTTCGAAAAATCAACTGTTGTCGGGATATAAGTTAAATTAGAAATAAAAATCAATCTGTAAACAAGTGCAAAATCTATTGATGGAATAGATTTTACACTTGTTTTTCATTGTGTAACATTATTTTTTACAAAAACAAAGTTTTCTTTCCATTTTACTGTATTAATCTTTTACCAAGTTTATTGTTTTACACAGGAATCACGTTTTCCAATATTGTATATTTCTAATATACTATTCTTAAAATGTATAATACTTCAATATTACTTAATTGTCATTAATTAATTAAATACCATAAAGTAAATAATTATTATCTTAAATTAATTAATATAATGTAAATATAAGATTTATAAGAAGGTGCATGCGTGTGTGCGTAAGCACCATAAAGATTTAACGTATATTTACTCCACTGGATCGTTCTCCATAGAAAAGGAGAACCTCACTACCGTGAACCTCACAAACTTCCGCATGTATAAAAAATTGATTAAAAAAATAAGAGCGATGGTAGCAATCTGTATGATAAGGAAGCAATGTGCAAGTTTCTAATTTGCACACTCTTTTAAAATTTTAAATTTAATCTTTTTATGAATTGATAGAGGGTTAGCTTAGTAGCATAAGTGGGGTTTTACAATCGACGCAATATCAAATCAATTTTCACTTAAAGAGTTCAGGCCACATGGACTTCGCATATGGACCTTTAATCGCGTATAAAGCTGGGTTTAATCAACCAAATTTTAAGGAATTATATATGAAATAGGAGTAAAACAAGTAAAAAAAATTGTGCAAATTAGAAATTTGCACTTGACTTCCTCATAGAGGAAGTGATGTCTTAAGATGCTAATACGGCCCTCTGATTGGCTGATGACGCCTTAAGACTATACTTAAGACGATCTTGGATATAAAACCCGACTATGAATACCGGCCTTAAAGAATTATATATGAAATAGAAATATAGAAAAAACTGAAGAATATAATAAAATTAAAAAATTTTAAAACCTTTTTTTAACAGAAATTGGTAACCCCTTCATTATTAACTATTTTTATTAATTCTATTATATTCTTCAGTCTTTTCTACCCCTATTTCATATATAATTCGTTAAGATTTGGTTGATCAGTTCTGGAGTTACAGAAATTTCTGTAAATTTGGCACAGACATACATACACACATACCGACATTTTTTTTAATGCAATATTTCGACGTTTTAAAACACTCTGAACATATTTACATTAAAAACTCAAAAAACAATCTTTTTTTTGGTTTTTTCTACCCCTATTTTATATATAATTTTTTTAAATTTGGTTGATTAGAGCCAACTTTATATGCAATCAAAAGTTCATATACGAATTTACGAAAACAAAGCTTCCTTTATGAGGAAGCAAAAAAGACTGAAGAATATAATAGAATTATAAATAGCCTGATATCTCAAAACTGGCGGAAGTTATAGCTATATACCACAGACATTTCTAAAAAAATTATGAACCTTTGATCACGTATAGAGCTGGGTTTAAATTAACTAAATTTTCAAGAATTATATATGAAATAGAGATAGAAAAGATTGAAGAATATAATAGAATTATAAATAGCCCGATATCTCAAAATTGGCGAAAGTTAAAGCAGCTACGGACATTTCTCAAAAAATTCAAAATTTTATAAGAAAGAACCCTTTTACCGATTATCGCCAAATTCAATACCAACCTTCTTTTAATGATACTCTATATATATGTATAACTTATAACATGTAACTTTTTAGGCAGAAATCGGTAACTCCTTCACCTATCCTTGCCAAATTCAATACCTTCCTTAAATGATATTCTATCCATCAAATAACTTACACATTTTTCAAGCAGAAATCGGTAACCCTTTCACCAATCCTCGCAAAATTTAAAACAACCTTCCTTTAATGATACTCTATATAAAATTACATGTACATCTTATACACTTTTTAAGCAGAAATCGGTAATCCCTTTACCGATCCTCGCCGAATTCAATAACAATCTTTCTGTAATGATACTCTATCTATCAAATAACTTAGGGTACGTAGACCGAGGCAAATCGGATTAATATAAGTTTTAAGACAGTTTTTGTTAGAGTTTTGTTTCAAAAGAGCTGTTTTATCGTGCTAATTACTAATTACTAATTATGCGATCAAAGGTCCATATACGAAGTTTATGAAAACAAAGCTTCCTCTATGAGGAAGCAAAAGAGAAATTTGACCACGATGGTTATAAAGCATTTGGTCTGTGTAATAATCCTTATCTTTTTGTTACTTAGATCAAAGGGAAAGATACACCAATGCCGGGGGATGTATCAGGTATAGGAGGTGTAAGTACACCAGCAGATCCAGACTACGGAGACAGTGTGTGTGTAGCTGGTACGCTTGGAAGTAAAAGTGACTTTGATCGCAGAAAAAAGAAAAGGTATTTATATTAAAATCATAACACATTGCTATTTTAACAGTTTATGTTATAAATTTCATTAAGTTTGGGTATAATGGAATCTATGCCATAAGAAATGAAAATTATATAATTACTAGGTTTTTTTATATAAGTCTAGATCCCTCCCCTAAACTTTTTTCTTACTTTTTTCTTTGCAGACAATTTTTTCCACTTTAAGTTATATTTTCCTCAATTAAATTTATGTATATATAGAGATATATGTATCTCTATTTTTCCCGCGCATCGCGCGGATGTACCCTCCGCTGACCCGCCATTTTTAATTTTTATTTATTTATATTTATTTATATTTGTATTTTATTATATTTATTTATTATTAATTTTATTAAATTTATTTACTATTAATTAAATTTTATTATTTAAAACAAAATTGGCCTCCACCACACATCCTTTTTTTGGATCATTCTTAGCGAGTGGAATATATATATATATATATATATATATATATATATATATATATATATCATATATATACTATATATATATATATATAGCAGGTTATGTTTGCAAGTCATCAAAATTCTTAGTTCTCAATAATCAAGTTATATACTTTTCTCGTATCGAGTATACAACTCAAGTCATGATTTTTTGCACAATTGTAATAATAAGAACTCTGAATATTAAAAAAAAATATGCACTTACTTTGAAATCGTTGTATAAAATTATCAAATTTCCACTCCACAATATTTGCACTGTAAAATTGTCCATTGTTTCTTCAAACAGTCTCAATGTATTTGTTAACTATATATATTACGCACAACAACACAAATCACAAAATGAGCGACGATTGAGAGACGAACTTACGTATGTGCTTACTAAAACGGTCACATATGCCGGTCCGCACGGTAATTTCGGCAGGACAGCTGTTTGGTTAAAACAACCAATATAGTAAACAACGACAACTGAAGAGCGCCGTAAAAATTACTTTACCGTCGGGCCGCACCAGCTTGACAAGACCTGGCCTATTTTGGCCTGGCAGTTTCAGGTGATTTTAACTTAAAATTTTTTCCCGTGTGGTTACCCGGGCTTTGCCCCGAAGGACATATGTAATAAGACACGCAAATAGTTTCTTTCTCTCTCTCTCTCTCTCCCTCTCTCCCTCCCTCTCTCTCCCTCTCTGGAAAATTTCGTATCTGATTTCCAAAAAGATACCGGTTCCCAAAAAGATTGGTAACGAAAAACTATACAGTTTATAGCACTCCCCAGGAAATTCTACCCCTGTTTTATATACAATTCTTTAAAATTCGATCAATTATTTCCCGAAAAATTCGTCAAACTTCTGATACCAGTTTCCAAAAAGATCGGTAACGAAAAATTATATACTTTATAACACTCCCCGAGAAATTCAACCCCTACTTTATGTACAATTTTTTGAGATTTGGTCAGTTGGAACCGGTTTCCAAAAAGATCGGTAACAAAAAATAGTACACTTTATAGCACTCCCCGGGAAATTCTACCTCTACTTCATATGTAATTCTTTAAGATTCAATCAATTATTTCCCGAAAAATTAGAAAAATTATAAAAACTGGTTTCCAAAAAGATTGGTAACAAAAACTGTACACATCATGGCAATCCCCGGAAAATATTCTACCCCTACTTCATATACAATTCTTGCGATTTGGTCAATTAATTCTCGAAAAATTGGAAAAACTTCTAATACCGGCTTCCAAAAAAATCGGTAACGAAAAATTATACATTTTATAGCACTCCCCGGAAAATTCTACCTCTATTTGATCTATAATTCTTTGAGATTCGGTCAATTATTTCCTGAAAATTTGAGAAAATTAGAAAAACCGGTTTCCAGAAAATCGGTAACGAAAAACTATACACATCATGGCACTTCCCGGAAAATTCTACCCCTGTTTCATATACTTTTGGTAAAAATTCGGTCCACTAACAAATGAGTAGTTCACGGACAGACGGACGGACAGACAAACAGTCAGGTTTTATATAATAGTATGATGAAGTATGATGAAGTATGATAGATAATTTAACGCGCACGCGTGCGCTCTCTCTAAACACTTATATACTTACCTATACACCTACATACATACATGTAAAAAATATACATCTACATATATTTAAAATTTTATTTTTTACTTTATCTTTAATTATACACATAAGCATACAACAATAATTTTTATGGTACTTTCAAATATTGATACTTTGCGCTCGAGTTATATATCAAGTAATACTTCTTTATTTTAATTGTTTTTGCATTTGTGTCATACAATAAATGTTCCAAAATAAGATAACATGAGCTTATAGGATTTGATAGAAAATATAATTCTAAGTAAAAGTGTTTTTATAAACATGCATTTTAAAATGATTTTTTAAGAAACTTTATATATCAACTTTTTTAACGTTATTACCAATACCATTTCTTGATTGTTACATTAGTTGTCATATAATGTAATCAAATGTTTATGTATGAGGACAATTAGAAAATAATATTGACAGTCCCTGGCCATATTATTAGACGCACTTAATCTTTTAATAGAATTCAGATTGGGAGGTGAAAAAAGCTATCAATTTTATATTTATATGATATATGCCTAAAAAAACACTTTATCAATTATTTAGGCAGTCAAAAAATATGTATATTTTTAATATTTAGTCAAGCCGCCTTTGGCGGTTATTAAAATTTTAATTCGCTTTGGCATACTATTAATGTAGGTATGCTTGTACTGTGTCTCCTGCATCATTATTGTGAACAATGCAACTGGCGCAAGATCATACTTGTTTACTATCATTATTACGGTTAAGTGAAATACGTCATAAACAAGTGACTTCTGTAGAACAATAGTTTCTTAACATAATTTGATGGTTTATAACAATGATAGATGAGCGGTATCATAAAGCTGGTGCATGGGAAGTCAATGATTGTAAAAAAAATTAAGGTGCGTCTAATAATATGACCAGGGACTGTATTCAACTGTTATGAAAGAAAAATTGACTAATAATTCCAAAATATCGCCAATTCCATAATAACAAGGTACCTAAAATGTCTACAAGACAGTGGGAAACATTTTGAGCAACTTTTCTAATAAATATATAATTATCATTGTAAGCAAGGAATGCCCAACCCGTTTGTTACAGTTTTTTAGCTTTATGGATGAAAAGTATGATAAACAAAATTTTCAAGCAATAATTTTATAGTAGGAAGCATTTACTGAAACTTTTTAGAATTGCAATATGTTATTAGACCTCAAGCTCTTTTTATACTTGAGGATTTTTAACAGACAATTATTATTCAAATCTTACGATAATACTGCGATAAATATATTCTAATATCTACATCGCATTATATTGAGATTGCGAAGATAAGTAATTTATAATTACTGCGATCTTCTATATATATTTAATATTTTAGTCCAAGCATGTTTGGTAGCATGTTGGACTCCTCGCGGCACGAGCTTTTAGCGGAAGCGATGAAAGCCGGAACGCCCTTTGCTTTATGGAACGGACCAACGGTAGTCGCCTGGTTGGAGCTTTGGGTGGGCATGCCAACGTGGTATGTCGCCGCTTGTCGAGCAAACGTTAAAAGTGGTGCCATCATGAGCGCTCTTAGCGATACCGAGATTCAGCGAGAGATTGGTATAAGGTACTCTGTAAAAATTATATAAAAGAAATAAAAATTATATAAAATAAAAATTACATTATAACTGTGATAATATAACGTTATAATACATTATAATGTTACAATTGTGTCTACAATTGTTTTCTGTACTTCTGTGACAGTAATCCTTTGCACCGATTAAAGCTGAGACTAGCCATTCAGGAAATGGTGTCGCTTACGAGCCCGTCAGCACCGAAAACTTCTCGCACAACATTAGCATTTGGTGATATGAATCACGAGTGGATAGGTAATGTCTGGTTACCGAGCCTCGGGCTGCCTCAGTACCGATCTACTTTTATGGAGTGCCTTGTTGATGCTAGAATGCTTGATCATCTTACGAAGAAGGATCTTCGTGGTCAACTGAGAATGGTTGACAGTTTTCACAGGTAGGAAAAAGACAGTGTTGAGGCACTCACAAATTCATCTAAAAATTTAGTTTATATTACTGATATGTTAAAATACATTGTTTATCTAATGTTATTATTTATAATTGCGCATTTCAATGTATTATATAGCAATAGTTATAGCAATATTATTACATTATTAAATTATTGTCGATATATTGTCGCAGAACAAGTTTGCAGTATGGCATTTCTTGCTTAAAGAGACTAAATTATGATAGACAGCAATTAGAAGAGAGAAGACGAGTGGCAGAAGGTGCCAATATAGATGTACTCGTGTGGAGTAATGATCGTGTCATAAGATGGGTACAGTCGATTGGTTTGAAGGTAGATAAACGTTCTCTAGTGCTGGTCTACAACCTTGCTTTAAAGGGTATTTAAGCTCTAAGCCGTAAGAAATTGACCAATCACAGTCGAATATTCTCCTCAAATTGTATTGTGATTGTTCAATTTCTTACGGTTTAGAGCTTAAATATCCTTTAAAGCAAGGTTGTAGACTAGCACTAATGCTCCGCTACGATCGATTACTTACGAAAGAAATTAACATCCAATACTCGTAGGAATACGGGAATAACCTCTTAGAATCAGGGGTGCACGGTGCACTCATAGCTCTAGACGAAAGTTTTGATGCAAATAGTTTTGCATTAACTTTACAAATTCCCACACAGAATACACAGGTAAATGCTTACAGTTACATTACAATAAAAACTTGTTAAAACATAAGTGAATATATTCTGTATTATTTTCGTAGGCAAGACAATTATTAGAGATGGAATTTTCCAATCTGTTGACGATGGCGACGGAAAGGCGTCTGGACGAGAATAGCATGAAATCCTGATCCATCTCGTCAAGTCGGCTGCCTCATATTCAACCGCATCATGTCTAGTCCAAAACCCCAGCTATTGCTACTATCTATGCGCAAGTGTGTTGTAAAAGTTGTAAGAGCTTTAAGTATCACGCTAGGAGTATCTCTTCATATTGTTATGACAAATGTGACATTTGGTAATACTGAGGTGTGTTTTGACATAAGCTGTTAAGATAAACTTACATGATACATTCGATACTTAAGGATCCATCTGATCGATTTTTATGCCGCACACGCATAAATCGATGCGCTATAAGGTAAAGGTACCAATACCCGGACATGTACCTATATCCGGACACCTTTATTATTTATAAGTATAACGCGTATTAAAATCAAAGATAAAAGTATTTTTTTTGTAGTTTGAAACTTAAGTTATAATATTCAAACGTTTATTTTCATAAATTTATGTTTTTTTAAAGGTATCCAGACACAGATACGTGTCCAGGTATTGGTACATTTCCTATGCTTAAGTGTCCGGGTATTGGTACCTTTACATTATATACCACATTATAATATACCTTTTAACAAAGAGGAGAAAAGTTAGTTATTTCGATCGGTTTTTCATATAGATATCGAAATGTAGCAGGCATCAGTTTTTGGATTATATTGCTAGAACGACACAGCGATGGATAATAGTACTATCCTTAAAAGCACGAGATATCAATTGCAGACGATTACGACAATAATTCTCTCTGAGTTAGCTTCATTTGTTTATAAAGTCCATAAGTCTCAGTATTATGATGTCGCGTAGTAGAGTGTATTTGTTGTATGATTGGTACTACAACGTGTACTTATAAAGTTTAATAAATAAGGCAGGATAAGTTAACACTTTGTACCGCACAAAGAAGTGGAAAAACAGGAGTCTACGATATCTTTGCTTTTGAGGAAATTTTTCATATATGAGGTGTCCTGTAACTAGTAATACGACGGAAAAAGTAAATCTATGTGAAAAAATAAGTTGAAAGTGTGAAGCTTCTTTGCGTGAAATTTTCTCTTTGTTAAACTTGGGTAGATGTGAATGACTGAATTTGCTATATTAAGGGGATGCTGGAGCCGTCTGTTTTACCGGCATTTTTTGTCGGCACGTAGCGTCGTATTAATTTGACAGAATTAAAAATCCTTCTCCAGAATTGCAGTACATACATTAATGATTCGGGGGAACTCTGATTTTATATAGAAAACGAGAAAAAATTATGGAAGTACAGATTTCCTTATCCTACTTTTATCCCAATATGGCGTCTCGAGTTGCGGCGAGCTGTCAGCTCGTCACAAGATGTATTTCATATAAAAGATATACCATTGGTACGAACACGAAAACAAGTTCCCTCGAATTGCACAACAAGAAAAATATCGATAATCCCTCCAAATCAAGATTTGGAAGCGTAATATAAAAGTATAATGTCGACGTGCATCGTGCGTATGTGTGCGTGCAATGTAGCGTGCTATCCTTGTCTATATCTTTGTCTATACAAGGACAGATATAGTTCGCCGGTCTTCTTTACCGACGCCGATCGAGTTCGGTTACGGCTCCATTGCAGCATCCCCTTAAAGATAAGATTAATATTCTATAAATATAACTTTCAATAATTTAAATTGTTTTTAATTATACACAGGGTATCCTCGATCGTATTCTAAATGTATAAATATTCCTTTTATTTTTATGATAGACATATTTAAAGAAAAAGAGATATTTATATATCTCATAAGGATACATATTCTGATTGAGAAGTTTTCTTTTTCCAAGGTCACAATTTTTTATATTTCAGGATCATTTCTGGATATTTTCTTAACTAAAATTAAATAATTTATTTTATATATAAGTCGATTTCTTAAAAATAAATATTTATAAAAGTATTAAAGTAAGATCATCCGAAAGCAGATAGTCTATGAGTCCACACTCTGTGAGTCATATTTTATTCTAATATATTCTGACAAGATATTAAACATCATGTAAAATATTCACTTTTCGATGATTTTATCTTAATACTTTTATATACAAAATAAGGAAAAATATATAAGTGACGTACATTTGTATACAGATATAAATCGATTGTGAACAAATTCATGTAAAAAGATAAACAATTGCATTTAAAATTGCAATTATACGTTACAATTACTGTACTTGTGCAAAAGTAGAATCGTCAATCGATTCTACTCGCTGCTGCGTGTACAAAAATATTCAATTATTCTAAATCAAAATATTACAGAAATACATAATTAATATTTTTTATTTATATTTTATGTACAATTTTTATTTTATTCTTTACATATATTATTTAAACTATCTTCCTACTTGTATTATAGGACACCCTGTATATATTGTATACAAAAGCCGCTATGTTTCTATATCTATAACAACAGATAGTATAGAGATAGAGCTAAAAAGCTGCGCATAGAAATATCTTTTCGCAGACAGAGCTCCAAGATATCTGAATTTCTTATTACTTTGATGAACTATGAATATTTCTAGCGTCTTATATACTAGACCACGTATACTAGCGCGTAATATATTATTACGTAATTATATACGATCGAAGAGATAAAGTAATTGACGCTCGCTTTTTGTTTACTAAAAGGATTCCGAACATTTTATATACAAGATATTTACAAATGCGGTTATACGAACGTGTGTTGATAAATGTGTTGTAAGATTAGATTACTTCGATTATATTTTTTAAATGAAGCTACTGACCAATTTTGTGCGTATCGTTCGTAATAATTGGATCTAATATTTCGTAGACAATGACGAATATCCATTGGCGTGGATATTGTATTGCTATTTTACGTTGTGTATATGATATATAGTTAATAAGCATGGTCGGTAGCGGAGCAATGCAATGCGTACGGTAATCGCAACAACAATAGGAGAACTGTACGATCGTGCGGAGGAGTTAACCATAGCGACGATTAAGACTATATAAAAACAAATTATGTTGCTGAAGACAATGATCGCGCGATGGTAATTATTATTACCAATTATACAGACATCAAGTGAAATTGAAGATGTGGCGAAAGACTGAGACATTGGTGGTGATTGTAATAACAAATTGATCGAGATAAAAAAGAAGAAAGACGATCACAATAATGACGATAAGTTATAAATACAGATGTTGTTAATGTTGTTGATATTGAGCAATCATTGTTGTTGATGTTTGTTTCTCATGAACTGTAACTCTTCTTGCAAGCTGTTTATTCATTGTAGGATTCATGGTTCTGCACGACCTTCCGAACGGGCGTAAATGTACCAAATAGTTTCTACCAAAGACTTTATATTGAGTATACATACATTGATTCGTCGATTAGACATACGGAAAAAAGGTGAAATGTCGGTGCTTCTGATGCGACGTAGTATCCTAGATAGTTAAATCTGTCGAACGCAGATTTCGCAGACAGTGTCTGCTACAGATTTTGTCGGCAAAATGCCAGCAAAAATGTAACAGAATCTACTAACAAAATATGATGGCAGATTGACTGCAGAAATCGAACAAAATCTGCCATTTCGTAACTACTCGGATAGCCAAATTTGTCAAGAACAGATTTTGAAAATGTCTGCTATAAATTTTATCGATAGAATGCTAGCAGAAATATTAACAGATTCTGATAACAAAATACAATGATAGAATGATTGCAGAAACTAAGCAGAATCTGCCATTTCATAACTATAATTTAAGTATTTACGAAAGGATTCTGGGTAAATATGCATATTAGGTCAAACCTCACCGATGGCCTTGACCTTGACATATGTTGTCAAGGTCACCCTCCTGAGTGACCTTCAAAAGGTTTTAGCCGGCGGTCATTGTTTATTAAAAAGTTATAAACAAAAAATGTTTCAAAAATATAGCAGCTATTTTGAGTATTGGAAGGCATAAATGACTAATATATATGTCGAAATAGTTCACGCATACACTTTTCACGCGAACCGAGGTTCACGCACACCACCCCCCCCTGCTTTCGGGGGAGGTGCGGTAGTTTCGAAATAGTTCACGCATACACTTTCCACGCGAACCGAGGTTCACGCACACCCCCCCCTGCTTTCGGGGGAGGTGCGGTAACCCCGAAATAGTTCACGCATACACTTTCCACGCGAACCGAGATTCACGCACACCCCCCCCCTGCTTTCGGGGGAGGTGCGGTAGTCCCGAAA